TTAAAAAAAAAAAAAAAAAAAAAAAAAAGGAAAATCCGGAAATGGGGATAGTTACAGACAGCTTCATCGGACTCTCACCAACTTATCAGGAGGCTGGTACTTTGACCTGCAGAATTCACTGTCTGAGCTTTCAGGGATAAGCTGTCTTGAACCCAGCTCAATCTGCAGAATTCACTGTCTGAGCTTTAAGGGATAAGCTGTCTTGAACCCAGCTGGGAGTAGGCACAAGCCCTGAATAGAATATGCGGTGATTATAGCTTTATTTGTGGCAACTTTCAGCCTAGAAACAGTGATAATAACTGCATTTTCTGTGGTGGGGGAAAGACACAAGCCACTGCCTCGCAACTGAAGCTGACAGTAAGCATCAGGCAGGAAGACAACAATGGGCCTAGCTCAGTTGTAACACCCATGAAGTTCACGAACTGTTGAAATGCACGCCTGAGTTTGAATCCAGATGGAACAAGATAACTCCTTTCTTGAATTACCTTAGGGCAGGTTAGTTCGACAATGATATCTCTAAGTTGTCGCCCTTTTTCTTTGACAAAAAAAGGAAGGCACCAACGTGAGCACCAAGGCACACAATAAGTGAGCGGACAGGCAGCAAGGTAGGGAGCAACGGAGCGAAGCACAAGACGAGCAGATGAGCAAGACACAAGGCAAGCTGGCAAGAACACGACAGGGCCTTGTGAGGTAGGCAGCAAAGGAATGAAGCACAAGACGAGCAGATAAGCAAGACACAAAGCAAGCTGGCAAGAACACAGCAAACCAAACATGGCCGTGAGGGAAGGCAACCGTGCAGCAAAACCGACAGCAAATGTGTAAGGCAGGGACGTAGGCAAGTGACACAACAAGCCACAAAGGCAGCAGCACGGCCTGCAAAGCAAACAATATAAAAGGCAAGCAGCAGGCAAGGCAACAGGGCACAAGGGAGGCTAGCAGTAAATCAACAACGGATAACACGAGGCAAGCAGGCACTCACGTGGCAAGACATGCGACAGCCAAACAAGCAAGTAACAAGGGGAGAAGACACAAGGCAAGGACAGGCACATACTTTGCAATTCTCTAAAGACAAAGACATGAAAAGCGAGACACATGCTATTTTTCAGTTTATATTACTTCATATTAGTTCATACCTCAATTTTGGTTTTTTGGGCACACCATATTTTGATTTGCCTCGGCGTTGACTAGGAATTCTTCGTCAACGTCGAGGCAGATCCAAATATGGTACCAAAAGAGCCAAAATTGAAATATAGCCTTATATAGGTCTTTCACTTTGTCATATAAAATGGTATTATATACACCAGGCAAATCTTGTACTCTTACCAGCTCGTGCCATAACAATAGAGCGCTCTAAGCCGCTCTTGTAAATTATGGCCTTCTCCCCGAACGTATGCAGTAACCTCATTTCTTGTGGTTTATCTCACTTCAGCTATTCTACAAAGCTGAGTTGGGTCAAGTAGCAAGGCAGAATCGGATGCACGGAGGCAAGCAGTATGGCAAGCAGTCAGGCAGCCAGCCATGGCAACAACACCAGGCAGGTGAGTGGTGAGCCAACCATCAGGCAAATAAGCAGACAAGCAGCAAGCAGCAGCACCCAGAGGACACACAAATAAAGCGATGATGGAGAGTAGACTCAGTAGAGGGATGCAAATGAAAGAGGACAAACTAAGGAGGGCGGCATAACGCCTACCTGGTGGAAGCAGTATGTCGAACACAAACATCCCATTGCTGTATGGTGTACCCTTTGGGCCCACTATCAAAGCCTTCAAGACATCCATCCGGACCTCATCAACTCTGACATATATGGATGATTCCCATTCCATTGGCAGTGTTGTTGATAATGCCGCCACCTCCTTGGATAACCGGACCATACGACCTCGGTTATGAACTCCGCTCTTGTCTATGGCCGAAGAACTTTCCTCTGCAGCCCACGCATTCTTGCCATTCCTTTTCCTCTTCCACCGAGCTCCAGAGCTACCTTCCTCAACTCCAGAAATCTGTTTCCGGAAGTAATGTCTGTACTCGCCCTTGTCATCCATCATCTGCACCTGCAGAAACTGCAGAGGTCCCATAATCTCCTTGTATCGTTGTTTGTGGCTCTCACCAACACGTTCTTGCATTTTGGCATCTTCCCTCCTAACATCAACAGCCATGATCTCTTTGTCATGCCCCGAGACTGTCCCGGCATTGCTTACACTGTTCTCCGTTTCCTTTCTTTCAACATCCATGCCCTCACATTTGTTCTGTCCGATGCTCCCCTTGCTTCTCTCTGTGACCACATTCCACTGTTCGGCTGCACTCCTCAACATTTCGACACACTCACAGAGCTCTGCTGCCAGGCACAGATCAACGGCAGCGTTCTCATCTGCATCCTCAAAGGAGTTCTTCAATGCACTGTGTCGCATCAGAGACGCCTGCCGGTACAAGTTGTCCAGGAACTTGACCACGCCAGTCTCTTCCTCTTTAACCCCTTCCTCCTTGTCGTCCGTTTCAGAATCCTTCATGCCTACCCCTCCATTCTCCTCCTGAGAACCCAGGCTGGCCTTTCCTCTACTGCACCCACTGCCACTCGCCTTCCCTCTCTCTACATCAGGCCCCCCTTCCCAGTCCTCTTTGACGTTAGACCGCACAGGGCCAAAGACAAGGGGTAGAAGCTCGCGATGGTTGGCAATCAATCTCAGAAGACGAAAGAATGCCCCATACAAGCTACGGCGCTCACAGACATCGAAGATAGAGTCGTTCTGCGCAAGACGGCGAACTAGCTTCCCAATCGATCCCTTTGTGACAACGAGCGCGCATACTGCAGTGCTCAGACCTGCCTCAGTTTCCCCTATAGTTTCTACGCCTGCGCTCAACACGGCGCGGATCGACTCGACTAACGAGTGAAGGGCAGGCTCTACAAGCTTGTTCACCACCTCCTCCCAACCAGAGGGACTCCAACTTGGACCACCTTTTCCACCCTTACCTTTTCCACCCTTTCGCAAGCAACCGCTACCACTGCTCCAATCTTCACCCCCGCCAAACCCCGTTCCTGCCGCCCAAACTGTTTTTCCTGAACGCCGCTTGTGCCATGGCATACTGCCACTCAGCAACTTAAGCTTGCCAGTAAGACTCGTCACACCATTCCCCCTGCCTGCTTTGCTCTTGCTGGAGCCCACAGAGCCATCATTTCCTCCTCGTCCTCGTCCTCGTCCTCGTCCTCGTCCTCCTCCATCAGTGCCCTGTCCTTGCACACTGCTTTTGGACAAATGCAAGTCTACGGCATTCTTGGTCAGCATAGACAAACCTGCTGCCATATCCATCATCGGTGAGGCCTGAGCAGGAGCAGGCATTGGCTTTGCAGGCAACGTCCACCCTCCTAGTGGGGGTGACGCCACTGCATTCGTCACTGACGATGCAGGTAAGCCAGTTATGGGCGGTGGAAATGCAGGGAAGCCATGTAACATTGCAGGGAGCCCAGTTTTCGACGGTTGCAAGTCCAGAAAGCCATTTAATGATCCCCAGTCCTCCATCGAGTCACTGTCATCCTCCGAGATGGAATCTGATAATCCATCTATCGGCCACATAGCCCACTCAGACTCGTCCTCATCGTATTTGAAACTTGTCTCTCCCGCCACAGAGTAGGATTGCTTTTGCATCACCGCCGCAGACAACACACCATGGATGTCCTTGTGCTTGCTACGTCCATGCCCTTTGACGTGCTTAGCCTTGCCGCATATCTCTGAATTTGGCCCACTTTCATACTTTCGGCATGCCTCTTCTAAGATCCTCACACTCTCAAAGACATCGAAGATTCCCCGATGATTCCTTCTGCACTCGTGTGATGTCATCTCATGATGAGTTACCCCCACGTCTACAGGACCACATGCCATGCACCAAACACGAGAACATTGTCTGCATTTGAACTTTGGTGGACAGCTCCTCCGCTGAAACAATACCATATCATCGTCTCCTTCTTCGTTGTCGTCACCTTCGTCTAACCACCATGATCCCTTGCCAACAGGCGAGGCTACTCGAGAAGATGATTCTGATGATGAAGACGACATTGACTCATATGATGAAGTGGATGCTGATTCACAGTCTTCCTCCTCCTGTGAGCATGCTAGACTTGGCCGTTGTGATAAACCTGTCAAATGGTTTTCAAAAGTCAGAGCCTCAAGATTGTTTTTTTGGATAGTGTAGTGACCTGCAAAATCACAGACTGAGAACTCTGCTGATTTCTGAGTTTTGCTGCTGGAATGTGTGCCCTGCTCAGATTCCCGCTTTGTAGGCCCTCGTAGCTTAGGGTAGCACTCGAGTAGTGGTAGGCCGGCAGAAGGAGACAAGAAGTTAGTACCTTTAGAGGCCATGTGAATTAGGAACCGGTAGGCCTAGGTCTAGGTGGGTACCAGTCCAAGTTGTCTGAGACTAGGGCCTGTAGTGAACGATATCAGACCTGCAATAATGTTTCTCTCCGAAAGGAGGAGGGTACCGGTTGTTTGGGAGGCATCACAGCCTGGAAGTCACCGCCCAAGAGGCAAGTTGCCAGGAATATCGCCAGGCAGAGTGCTTGGCTCTGCCACATTTGCGGTGTGCAAGTTAGGGCGTCACGTTGGAGCAGCAATAGTGTAGAGCGTTGGGAGCAGCAGTGCTAGCATAGAGCGCTGGGAGAGACGAGCGCCTGGCCCTCCACCTCCGGCTATGGTGGAGAGGACCAGGTAGGAGGGGGAGGAAGAAGGGTTGTGGAGGAGAGTGGCGGAGGCACTTACCTGGCTATGGTAGACATCTATTCCTTGGCCCTAGTGGAGGTGTGTTGCATGAAGAAGGCTTCAAGGCAGAGTTAGGCATGGCGGACTGACCAGAGGTCATATTTGCTTTTGCGTTCCTTTTGGGCAATCCGGGCATGGCCCCTGTAGTCCGCCATAGCCACCACCAAAAGATGGTGCTCGTGGATGAAGGTCATGGCTATGGTGGACCTCATGTACTGCTCGGAGTAAGAGGGAGATTCGGACATTGGTTCTGGTTCAGTCATTCATTGTTATTATCTCTATCCTCCAAAAGCGAAAAGTGGTCTTCGCGTCACACTTTTCGCAGGCCCAGCAAAAAGCAGTGGCATGGGGGGGGCCCACAAGGAAAGTCGTGTTCTAGGCGGGACCAACTCTTATAAGGCGTGCGACACTTTTTTTTTTTCAGTTTCACGAATCTTCTTTAGTTTCAGTTGGCCTTATTTTCCGTCTCTCCGTGGCCGGTCGCGTGGAAGAAAAAGAAGGGGGCAAACTTCTGCAAACTGCGGCAGGCAGGTCTCTGGGCTAGTGTGGTCGAGTTTCCTAAGCGGCCGAATCTGGACGTGTTTGTGAAGCTATGCAGAAATCGTACCCAGAAACCCTGGCAGGTTTCCAGATCCGAGCGTTGACGGAACTCAACGCCGCTAGCGCCACGACGCTCCCGCGTGATCGATGGTATTCAGTCCCATGGGCGAACTGAGACATGGTGGTGTGAGGGGGAGGAAGAGGTTGCGCGAGGGGGAGGGGGTGGTCACGCCAGGGCAAGGAGGAGG